CACTCTTTCATTCTCCCTCTCTCTTTCTCCTTACACAAATACACAAACACGGAGCAGAACACTGGTTCTCCTCGGCAGTGTGCAGCTTGCTATGAATATTTGGTGCCACAACCTTGAAGGAACATACCATGGACACCTCTGACATATTGGCTCATGAAGGCTTGCATGCTAACACACGATGAATGACACTTGATAAGAGAAATCAGATTGGTCATAAAGTTCTAAGCAGTAAATTCTGTGGTTTTTGATGAAAATATCTAGTACTAGCATACAAAAAACACAAGACTGATCTGCTTTTGTCTATAATCTGATTATAGCCAACTATGTTAACAAGATGTGAGGTCAGATATCACGAATTCCACCTGTCATGTCTCACGAAATTAATCCGACTTTGCCGGAGCAATTCTTATTGTTTACCATTGTAACGCTAGTGCCATGGGTTAGAATCTTAACTGTACAGTACAACAGTGACAATAATGTATTGTCTGTAACACATTAAGTTCAGCAAATGAGCTGAATATAATGTCAACTGTCAAATTTATGCTGGGGAAAAACAAAAAAGCTAAAGAAAAAGCAGGGTGACAACAGATGCTACTTGACAATGGCAAACGGTAGATATCAATGCACTGCGTCACACAATTATTAAAATGAAAATGTGTGACAATTTAGTGGTAGAAGGTGGATCAAGAGTAATACCAAGCCAGCGTTCATATGAAAACAAACACCCACATCAACACAAAGTAATCTACAGCATCTCCTCTGTTTCCAAGAAAAAGTGACCAGCAAAGTGCCTGACACTTCTGCAGAAAAACCCACTTGACAAGACTTGTTACACACATTTTGCAGTAAAAAGGGGCGTCTAGAAGACAATTCAGACCAAATAAGAAAAATCCTGATGTTTTTCATGTTGTTATTGTCTGTTTATATCAACTTTAAGATTGGCTATGCAAGCCGTGATTTGTGGTCAAAAAATCTGTTTTAACTGCTAAATATTAGTCAGTCTGTGATAGTTCCATGTCTATGAATACTAGAGTGATGGTGTTCAAACTTACACTATGTTTAACAAGTAACCTGTCGACGAATTTGTTAAAAATGTATAAACTCCACTACGACCTGCCAATGAGCATAAAGTGGCTACAGATGAGAACTATACCAATCAAAACTACATGTCCATGTAGCTTCAAGAGATTAAAATATTAACCAAAGGTAAATTACGGTCACTGCACTATCACTAGAATCATCTGACAATTATCACAAATGCTGACTAAACGTGATGAAAAGTAAGACAGCCTGTGCAAACTAAACTGCTTTCCACCACAGATGCGAAATAAGTGTCTATACGCGTAAAAACCGAAAACTAACTAAAAATCGTTACTTTCCCCAGCTTTTCTGGTGTAAACTACCTGGTTAGTGGTGTCAGGTGGCAGGTTTTTGATGAGGATTTTCCTCCTGTTGCTCAGCTCCTGGCGAGTTTTGGCCAGCCTCCTCTCGATCTCCACCGGCTCCAGGTCCGGCAGGTCGCGGAGGCTAATCCCGGGCTCGGAGGGCTGCGCTGCCGCCGCCGCCTCCTCATCCTCCGGCTGCCGGCTATCGGGGCTGTCCATCTCCGGGGAAAGTGCGCTCTCCCTGGCCAGAGAGGAGTGAACGCTGGGCGGCTGAATGGATGAGGCTGCCGCCATCTTGGGTAACTGAGGGAAAAGTGAGACAGAGAGTGAAAGAGAGAGAGAGAGAAGTGGGAGGTGGGTGAGTGAAATAGAAAAAGCGACAGAAAGAGAAAACATCCCGAATAATGATGGCAGGTAAATGTATTTATTACCGGAATAAAATACGTCTTATTTATTGACTTAGGCTACCTAATCTTCTGTTCATCTCATAGCCTACTGAAATGAAAATAAAATTAATGTTTAAGCCTGTGCGATCTGTTTTATGCAGCTACTTTAAGAAAAACAGTGAAACTGCACCCGGCGGGATTTCCTCTATTAGCCTACATTTCAGATTTTTAAGATTTAAGATTTTTTTTGTATGCAGAGACTAAACTAGTTTTTAAATGGGCGGTTTGCTGCTCACATGGTGTCCGGCTGTCCCTCGGACTCCTGGCGACCCCAGCTGTCCCCCACACGCACAGGAGCCAATTAAGATCCGTCAATACTGACGTTTCACCATCGAAATAATGGTTTGTGCCTGTGTAGGTTTCTCAGTTATTGTCTTGTAATTAACAGAAGTTGCTTGGTTGTTGTCATGGTCTGGCTGTTTTAATCTACTTCCCTCCTTTATACATGTTTCCACATTTGTTTCACAAGTGTTTCATGTTCTATAAGTGATGTGCAGTACGCTTTAGACAGCATTGAACTGGTAAATATATGCACAACCTTGATCATTTGGGTAAGAGAGGTCTCAGTTCTTATCTTTGTTCTATAGCCCAATTAACACATTTCTTATTTTGGTCATAGAGAGAGAGAGAGAAAGGGGGGTTGGGGTGAGGGGGGAATTCATTGGAGACTATCTCCAAACCACCAGAGCTTTCCTGTTCCCCCTGTGCATAATGTGACCATGAATGGCTCTGTTCCTTCCCTCCTTTCTACCCATGTCATCCAGTGAATGCCAACCAAGGAGCCAACTGAGGCAGGCTGCCTGCCTGCCCACCGTGGGTGGAAAGCTGCTCCTGGCAAACACAAGGGGAACAGAGCTCCCTGCCGCGTCCTCACAATGCCTATATAGCTTCTGCAGGCTGACAGACACACACTCAGTATATTCACTCATATGATGCATTCACACTCAAGTAAGCACACAAACATGTCAGCAAGCACACATCAACCCACTTAGGAAATATTTAGAGCGTGATTATGCCGAGGCCTGTAAGAGACGACGAAATCAACCTCCATCATCCAACCTCCATGTTCTTTCTCTCGCCATCTGTGTGAAGCGTTTCTTGGCAGATTGGAGTCCAGACAATCACAGTTGTCAGTGGGTGAAAATGAACCTGCATTGCCAAGTGGCTGAACCAGCGTAACTGAAACACACCGACTGTACATGAAGCGTTTGCATGAATGCTTCAGTCAAACTTACTCTGTCCACTCCAGAGCAGAAAGTCCAAAGAAAAGGGCAATTTAGAATTTCTGACAGAAGCAACTGAGGACAAACAGAATTTGTTTTATGTGATGTACTATACATATCACAACAGTCTGCAGCAACTTAGCATTACATTAAAAACTAATACTCCAAGACACAAACCTATCCTTCTGTAAATGCTCCTCCCCCAGCATGAAGCCTATAGAGAACACATTTTACCTGCAAACAACACCGCAATCAAGCTTTTCATTTATTGTTTCAAAGAAAGGAAGGATGTCAGGATGCCATATTCACAGATAAAACTATCTTACTTGTTAAAATGGACACTACAGCTTTTCTGTAGATCTGAAAATAAATCATCATTCCAATAATCAGTTAATAAATTCAGCCCTCTTTTTAAAAGAAATTAACAAACATTTTTTGGTTCCAGCTTCTCTAAGGACCTGCTGCTTTACTGTCTCAGATAGCAAACTGAAAAGCTTTGTACTGCTGATGAGACAAAACAAAGCATTTGAGGACATACTAGGCTCTGAACAATTGCAATGGGCAGTATTTTCTGAGCTGTTATAGAAAAAACTATTACTCAGTCTAGATAAAATGTCAGTTGCAGTGAGCAGTCTGGGGCTAAGCAGCTCCTGATACACCAGGCTCCATTATCTCTGCATTGCACGGGATACAAATCGACTTCACATGCATACGCCCTCCAGAATAACCATGCCGAGAAATGCTCCTGACCAGCATGAACCTAAATGTGAACCATGATTTATGCCCAACAAACAATGCAATCAAGTGAAACTAAGGTATTTTTACACTTGAAAAACACTGAGAAGTTGGGTCTGATGTAACCAGTTCTTACAGTGACAGATTGGGGGACATGAATCATTGAGCAGTGGTTCTCCAAAAAGACAGTAAGGACTTTGCTTGTCACTTGCACAGGCTGATTTTGGAGATGCATGAATCACTCCACTAAGTGCTAAACAACATTTCCATGAGAGAACAATTAATTTGTTCTCTCTGTCTCCCTGGCATACACACATGCCAGCACTGTATTACACTCAAACACACTCCAACATGCACATGTATTAACTCACGTCAGCCTACTGTCATCCCGCACAATTACACAAAATCTTTCAAGACATTTTACCTATGTGCAAGTGAAACCCCATTGTAACAGGACAGGCTTCACAAACCAAGGGAAAAAGAAATGCTAGTCCCTCTCCATCTAAATACAAGAGCCCTGCTGGTGCTTCAATGTGTCAGCCAGTGATTCACAGCCTTTTGGAGTAGGTGGGAGTAGAGCAGAGAAGAAGAAAGCAGGAAAACGCTCACCGCCACTTGCTGGGTCTAAGAGTGTGAGTGAGGGTGTGGGTGGGCAAAGTGGCTCAATGGGCGAAGCAGGCACCTGGGATGAGTTCAGTAGGCGTGAGGAAGGGAGGGGAGGTGAGTGGGGTGGGAGGATGAGCCCTAAATGGCAAAGTGGTTAATTGTGCATAGGGGGTGACAGTGAACATGTGTATATACACATCCTGTATGATTGTGCAGTGTGATTTTGGACATCTCGCCCTGTAATCCTGTCAGGAACGCAGGTGAAGATGTAAAAATGGAAACTAGACTCTACCTACATTTATAAGATGGTGCTTTGCTCTCATAAACGATCACAGGTGCAGTGTGGTGGTGTAGTTTCCCTTCTCTGACAGTACAGAAGACAATAAGGGCCATATGACTGACTAAAAACAGCTGACCTGAACCCATGAGGACATTATGCACATGAATTCCCCGTCTAATTCATGTCCTAATTACTGTATAGTGGTCATCTTCACCAGTGTCAACCAAGCTCCCTCTATCTACAGTTGTGCATTGGAGCAGGACACTGTGATCAAATCCCTCCTTTACAGATTTCACTGTACAGTTAGGATGCCAGTTGTTCCACATACTTTTAGCAAAACCTACACCAGAGCATGGAAAGCGCTGTCTATCACAGTGGTCTCAAAGTCATACAATGCTTGTATGCACAACTTAAGATGATCAGTGCTGAGATGCACTGGGGAAACTGGGACTCGGGACTGCACACAAATATGCTGCTAGTGCATGTCTGTTGTACTACTTGGCAGAACTGGTCTGTTGTACTACTTGGCAGAGCGGAGACTGACTGAAATGACCTGAGGGTGCTTGGACACCGAGCTCAGTGCTCTAATTCACAGCATTTCTCTGGCAGGAAGCAGCAGACAGCTTGAGAGAGAGGGAGTAGAAGAGATACAGTGACAGCAGAAAAGCAATAAAGAAAGCGCATGTAGGAGAGGTACAGTATGAATGAATGCAGACAAACTGATAAGGTTTATGGCGACAGGCGGGCAGACACAGACATGGGGAGAAAGCTCCTTTTCTCTTTCAGCTCTTAACAGTGCTGAACTACTTCCCTGCTGATGTTCAGTAAATTGAGCCCATCACACCCCTCTATTTTCACTATCCACCTCAAGGAGAAACATTTTGCCTAGCTGCACCCTATGACCTCTTAGAGACACAGTACCCTCTCTGAAACCACCTACATTACGCTTACCTGCTCTGTTGTACATTTTAATAAAATACGTCAAAGTATCAAAGATGACTGACCTTGCAAATTCCCTGATGCTCTGTGCTGAATTCTTCTTTGAAATCTTATCTCTATAGGAGAAGCACATCTAGGCATTTCAATATTACAATAACTCACTGCATTGATGGTTATGTCATATACTGTAGCAGAGAAAATGGAAACTGTGGTCTTCTCTCCCACCTCTAAAGTGTGGAAGTAGGACTGATGAAACATACATTTGACTAAAATGAAGAGTATTATAAATCCACTCTGAACCAATTTGTTCCATATTAGTGTGCTTCATATCAAATATCAGAGCACAATCCTGCAACAAAATTGCTTCTCAGTGATACAGTGGGCAACCAATTTATGCACAAGCCTGTTGCTGTAGTGTTGGCCCAGAATGTGACAAAGCTGACATTATTCTATGTTTCTTTTACTGTCAACAAATCCTGTGAAAAGTCACAAATCAACCATGCATTATTCATGATACACCCTCAATACTTTGACATCCCCAGAATGCTTGTGGCTATCAGCTCAGACTCCATTGGTTCCTACTTAAATCAGGTCACAGAGATACCATAATTCTTAACTCAAAGAGTTATTAGAATGTCATGTTATCTAATCAGAAAAAGATTGGATACTACAGGTTGTAGTGGTGTTGAATTATATAGGCCCAACATTATACTGACAGGTGTTGCTATTATTTTGTCCACCCAATTTATATCATTGAGGCTAGGCTAAATAATAGAAACACCTTTTTGTATAAATCAGTTAGGTTGAACAGCAACACAAACTACATAGCCCGGGTCTCTCTGAGGTTTCTTCTGTTAAAGGGAGTTTTTCCCCTCCACTGTCACCAGGTGCTTGCTCAAGAGGGATCTGCTGGGTTTTTCTTTACAATACTCTAAGGTCTAGACCTTGCTGTTTAAAGCGCCTTGAGATGATTTAGCACTATACAAATAAAACTGAATAAAATTGAAAATTACTGCAGGACTATGGTATTAGCTGGCTTTACTTTTAGCAGTTTGTACCTAATAAACAGGGAACTGAGCACACATTGGGTACCCACAAGAAGAATAATGGCGAAATGTATTAATAAACACTTACACCAGCTTGCCATTACATTAGTAAGATATAAGTAATTTCTTGACTTAAAGTGTTAGATAGGAGGGGTGGTTACACGGTTTGCAATTTGCCCACAGGTGGCGAGTGCAGCAAAGTAAAAAAGAAGAAGAAGAAATATAAAAAACCTAAAAACGGCATATTGCTCTTCCCTCTTCCCTCCAAGTAGCCTCTTGTTAGATTGTGTCAGGGCCATGTTGCTTTTCCATCTGGTTGTTTCCCAGATCCCCTGGCAGGAAACGCTGTATGCACAGAAAAGCCTCATAAATAACTGATAGGTCTGCCAGGCACTATGTACCATTATTCCTCCTTCACCCACACATGACATGCCCTATAATAAACAGCTTGAAACACATTGAAAAAGACTTTGTAGACCTAAGTGCAGACTGTGGCTGAAACACCATTTCGCTCTGAAATGCCGTGTTTCTTGACGTAGGGGTCAGGAACTAAAACTGACTTGGTGGGGGATCTTTCATTACAACAACAGTAGCAACCTCTGGTCCTTTAAACAGAAAACATTTCAAATAATAAATATTATCTTCGCAGAAAACAGGGTGGATAGTGGCATACATGGATCTTCATGTTGAAGAATTTCCTACTACTCCAACTATTCCAACCATTTTACATAATAGCAGAGAGCTCAAACAGTCCCTTCCAAACCAGGACAAAAAGCCTCTGAAGAGCAGCTTTGTGGAGTGTAAGTGTCCTAAATGTCCCTGTGTGAACCAGAGAAAGAACATAGACCGGAGACACATTAGACAGCATTACTCAGTTCTGAGTGAGTGGGAATACTAGGCCAGGTATTAAAGCAACACACGCAAAATCCCGGGCAGATAATCTTCACGGTCTACTGTGCAGAGAGGTTTGTGGGTGGTCTGTTCCTTGCCTTCCTACAATAAAAACAAAATGACCCTAATGACAACTGAAAAACAATTACTCCAGCAATATATGGGATAAAATATGTGAGGAGAATTTTACAACCATAATGGTTGTGTTTTTATGATGCAAGATAATCTTGCAGCACAGTGAACTCAAAGCAACTTTTTAGACTTAAACTTCAGTTACGCTCCTTTGTGTGTGGACAATTATAAAAATGGCTGACTGATCATTGCAGCCCTGAAATCAGGCTATAATGTTTGTGTACTTCACATTAGTAGCAATATGACATAATTTTGGGAATCTCTGAGAACAGGTCATAATTTAAATATTCCTAAAAAGGTCTCCTTTACAATTTAGACATGAAAGCTTGTAAACTGTGTTCTCACCAAACCCATTATCACGAATGACTGTCAGTGGTAGCAGGCAACTCTTTTCATCACAAAAGCTAGGCTACACACACTTTATGCTAATAGTTGAGTTAGCACGAGTAGCTAACCTTAATGCTAGCCAACAAACATTTACGTTAACTTTAAGAAATATACGAAATAAACGGGTTAATGATGATAAATAGGTTTGTGGGGCCAAAATGGAGCTCAAACTAGAGTGTTTATTTAACTTACATTTGTCACACGACTCCACAGGTACAATAGAGTCTTGCTCGTCTCATGAGAGTGCAAACGGGCGTTTGTTTACTAACTTTAGCCATAACTAAACTAGTTTGCGTTTTCCTTGTTGTTGTAGAGCCCTTATAGCCTAAGTTAAAAAACTGAGTAAATACAAATAAATCATGTAAACTGCACTCACTGAGCCACCAGTTTCTTGTGACAAGTCTAGTTTGGACTGGAACAGTAACACCACAGGTGTGATTAATACCGCCATGGTGGCTCCATTCCGTCTAAACCATGCGTTCACATTTGTTCGTGTCTGTCGTAACAGTCAGGCACCCATATGAATACTGAAATAGATTTTTCTTGTTGCTGTGAATACTGTCCTAAGATATGTCTTAATGCATTTCCACTACATGATGAGATACAAAATCCAGTCGTTTGTCTGGAAGCTTAAATTAATTTCTTCTTCTCTTCAAGCTTTTGGCACGTTAGTATCAACAGATTGGTGCATTAGCGCCCTCTGGTGTGCGGTTGAGCATCTAATATGACGAAGTATGGATCGAACTGTACCCTTATATCTTATCAATTATCCGTCCTTAAGAAATCCAGCACAACCATGCTTCTTGTTGCCGTTGATAGCAACTCACCTATTATACTTTTCTATACATCTTACAATCAGTATTATTCTTCAGTATCAACAGGATTAACAAAACACAGTATTTAAGTGTAAAATGGCCTTTTATCACATTCACATTGCAATAAATCTCAATTTGATAACGTTATATGATACATGAGGGGGTGATGTACACATGTTCCTTCAATACATTGATGAATGCAACTCAGAGTGTTCCTTATACACACAAATATACTTGTTTGCAACAGCTGGTAAATACTGTTTAAAAGCTCTCCAGAAAAAAAGTCTTTAACAAACTCAGTTTGGAGATAAAACAATTTGCCCCAACATGCACACATATCAAAAGATACTTGCAAGACTGCATCTGATGTAAAGATTGCCCTGAAATGCCACAAGACTAGTTCGATATCAAACTGAAATTAAGTACCGCACAGTATAAAGTGGTGAAAACAGAGGACAATTCTGAATTTCAACTTTGATGATGAACCTTTCTGTAATTCAAGTCTTCAGAGGAACATTTATCCCACTAAACATCCAATGAGCTCAACTGCAGTATTTTTAATATTCTGAAGACAATACAAGCATGTATGACACCTTAGCCAAAAGGAAAAAAAAACTGCATGGCTTACAGCAGTCAACTGTAAACCCCAAATCCACTACAATGTTGTCGTGTTTTGGTCATTACTCAGTGAAATGATGCAGTACAGTTATTTGCTGCAAACCTAAGTTGGTTTTATGATGAGATCAATTTTCTTTAACAGTATGAAAACATAAAACTTTAAAAACTACAAATCTCAAATGTAAAAGTGTGTATTAATTTTAAGTACTGACTTACATCCAATATGGACCTAAAGAAATATAAATCTAAAAAAAAAAAAAAAACATCCAAGGCATCAAAAATATAGTGAGACACCATGAACAGACTAGTCAATTAACCCAAATATCTGAGCATCAACTGAAGCATATATCATGTCTTACCAACAAAAAAATGGAGTGTACAGGACATTAATAGCTATTTGTTATTCTCTATTTACACTTCATAATGAGTCTCTGAAAAATAACAAACACAGACTGGGTCAAGTGACTCTTCATCAGAATAAAAATAAGTGGATTTATCAATCAAAATAATTTCACCTATAATTCTCTAATAGTATCTTGAAAAAATACAATAATGCAATAAACATGCTCCAGATGGATAATCATTCTCTCTCTCCCCACACACACACACACACACACACACACACACACACACACAAATATACACAACAGTTAATCCAGAGACATGTAGAAAAAGACATTTTGAGTGGTTAACCACAGAGGAGCCGGCAGATGGATCTAACCTCTGTATGACAACAGCAGCATCTCTCCCTCGTTCACTCTCTTTGATGAGAAGGAGACTCCCTCTTGGGTATCAATGGAAATTCATCTTATTTTGCACAAAATCCAGCACTCAACTTTAACGTACATGTAATATCAGCTTGGCCTCAAAGACAAGCTCTGTGGTAAAATGGAGGGGGAATAATATTCTGTACATTTCTACTCAGGCATATAGAGAGGACAGCACTCAGTCTTTGTGAATTTCTCAGTATTTCTGTGAGGTACCCCAGTTATCCTCGCACACCAAATCCCCAGCAGTGACTAAAGCCAGGACTGTTTACTAATGTTAGCTCCTCTCTTCCTTCTTGTCCCCCCGGGCCTTAAAAAGGCCAGGGAACATAAAAATTCTGCCTCTTGATACAGAGGGCATGTCCAGAAGGAGGAGGATGTCAACATATTTGGCTTGCAAGAACACAAAATCACCTCAGAACTGTGAAAACAGACAAATATGCTACATCTCAAACAGCACTTCCTCCCAGCTGCTCAGGATGTGATTAAGGCTTATTTGTATTTTAATTGATATTCAGAAAAAAATCTGGATTTTTGAAATGAGCAGAATTGATTGGAATCAGATTGTAGGTCCCTGCTCATCCAGAAATGTGTGTTGTTTAAAGAGGCCCCAGTTATCCACACTACAGGGTAAACATGGAGAGGATGCTTCTGGTAACTGAAGGTGAAAAGCAAATGAGAGGAAAATGCGAACGAGCTGCTAATAAAAGTCGCTCAGTGTGATGAAAAATAAAAACAAAACCTCTTCCCAATATTGAAATAGTCTGTTATTACTGGTATTCAGAAATTCTAAACAAACAGCAATTCACTGATTTCTTTCAGAGGAATTAAAAATGGAAAAAACATGAGCCCAAAATAAGATGCACTGGTTACAGGGAGTGGGTCGTTACATATTACTACTGTGTGGTTTGTGTTAGCGGCAGCTGCTTGCTCATATGTCCTGAAAATCTACCTCTTTAATAAATAGTAGAAAAATAACATTCTCCTCTTCTAAGTGTATCCTCCTGTATTTATGAGAATCACTGAAGATTTTTTCTGCTTTGAAGTTCAGACATTCATGAAAACATCCAATCATCTGGCCAAACTATTTTGTGCAAGGCCAACAGCTCCTCCAACTCCTTTGCATAAAGGCAGAAACTTGGAGTGTCTACTTGTAGAACCAAGGCTAGTAAAACTGATAGAATCCATAATATAATCCCATATTAGAAGCAGGCAGGTGTTGGTAAAGTTGATATTTTGCTCTTCATCTGAGATGTTCAGCAGCTTTCACAAGTGTAAGGACTGCTGTTCCCCTCACCACAAGTGAGCAGAGTAAAAAAAAAAAAAAATCTATGGGAAGGTTGGGATGAGGCCCTGGAACAAAAAGGGTCCACATCTGGCTCGGGATATAATTTAATTATCCTCTGGTCCGACATAGTGTTTGTTGTGGCCTAGCCTTTGTCCTATCTCAAGGCTTTAAAGTTCCAGTTGTGTCCTCTCCTCAGTGACGGCCAATGGATGAGCTCCAACAGCATCTTGACTGCTCCCAGCAGTGAGCCCTTACATAGTCCTGAAATCACCTCAGAAAAAAAAACAAACACAAAATCTCTTTTGGTTATTTTACTGGCCAAGATCTGATGAGTTTCAATGTGTGTAAAATTGTGCATACTTGCAAAATTTTATACACACTGTCATTGTGGAGATGTTGGTACAATGATATCATGAGACTAATATTCATATTAAGTTAAAGAGCCATTCCAAGCGAAGGCCCCGGCAGACCAGTGGCATTGTGGGTCTAAGTCGAGCTGTGGCGGCTCTCTCCCTCCATCCATCCATCCTGACAGTATCTACTGTGTGATGTCTTATCAATGTTTTTTTTTTAATACTCTTTAATACAAAAAAAGTTCCATCTCTGGCAGGAGAAGCAATGCAACACTGAGGATCAGCACTCTGCATCCACACTGTGCACAGTCACTGCAGCCTGCAGGTGATGCGTGTGCAGAGGGTAGTGGTGTGTATGCGTGTGCCGGTAGGGGTAGAATTTGTGGCTGAGTAACGCAGCCGTCTGGGGAGGTGTGTCCAGGTCCAGGTCATCATCATGGTTACCAACGTCGACACCAGCTGAGAGCGGGTCGTTGTTTCCGGGTGGATTCTCGCTGTCTTCCTGAGGACTCATGGTGCTATAACCTGAACACCACAAAGAACATACAGAGATTGGCATTACTGGACTTGTCATTTTGCACCTCTTTCTCCCAAATAAAACCCTTACTGTAAGTGATTCCCCGGCCTAAATCCTTTCAGTATGCACAGCCTTGCTGTAACCCTAAGTCTCCCAGTCGGAGGGTCAGAACCACATGAGGACTCATTGAACAGACAGATGCGGCCATGGGAAATTTGTAAAACTGATATTTGTCAGATATATTTGATCTATTTAGAGCTCCTGACACATTCAAGAAAACAGACTACATGGCTATAACCTCTGCTTGTTAATAATTTAGTCAATAAAGTGTCAGAAAAAGAGTGACTTTCTGTGTGTATGCACTTTTACCCTAAATCTTCAATGGCTAACAAACAAAACATCCCCATAATATTTCAGAATCAGATTTATTGGACAATTATGTTGAACAGACAAGGAATTTGACTCTGATACAGTGGCTCTCAATATTTTGATTTGATTTGATTTATTCTTTCAAGCATGTAAAGACAGTTGATATGACAACACACATAATGTTACACATAATCCAATATCAATTTGCTTATACCTAGTACATGCTTGAATGGAGTAGGAAGAAGTCAGACTTATCCAGTCCTACCCCATGACATCATCTTACCATCATTGGTTTGCAAGCAGTAAATGATTCACTTCTACCCACACACGTATTATACTAAAAAAAGATTATAGCAGTGTTAACATTCTTACAAAATTACATATGCTTTGTGAGGCAACATGAAAAATTTGTTTAAATAAGAAAAAAGAAGGGAAAAAGCCCAACTTATTTATAAATATATTTCCTTCATATATACATGTTGAGCCAGAAGAAGAGCTTTCTAAAAACAAAGTAGTAGAAAAAGAATCTGAATGCAATATAAAACAACATATATAGCAAGCTCGTTCAAGCAAACAACATGCAAACATTTAGCAGCTACATGCTGCAGTTGGCATAGGCATCAGTACATTTACAAGGAATGGGAAGATGCCATTAAAGAAACTACTTGTCAAATGATGCCAGACTCTAGTTGGAGACATTCAACACAGACACATGCTTGTGAGGACAGACTAACACACAATGTTCCTGAAAGCAGTACAAGCTCACTGGTGGTACACAGACAACTAAATATTTCCACTGGGCATTTTTCCTCCTTATGCTTTCAGCTTCCTCATACAATCTGTAAAGAAGACATATATATTTGTGACTACTTTTGTACACATCTAGCACATATGTTCAGCCTGAGGACAGAAACATGCCAGTATGACAGTCAGGATAGAACTGGAGCAGTGGGAGGGCAGTGCTGCAGTACTGATTACTAGGTCAGTGAATAGGATAAAAAAAAAAAAAACAGATTTAACTTTAAGAAATCAAAATGTAATGATACCAAATATTACTGGTCTCCTACTAGCCCCAAATTATCTTTGACTCTGTGATAGTTACAGTTTGATGGTTTGAGTCCTGCTAAACAAACATTCAGCAGCTCATTTTCATGAAAACCTTGCAGCTCTAAGTTTATACAGTTTGCAAGATTTGTCACCTAAATGTAAACAGTTATGTCATCCCCTTTATCCACTGAGTGGGTTTCATCACCATCAGGGCCATGAAACCCAACCGAAACACAGTCTGATTGTAAAGAAAAACAACTTTGTGAGCTGATCTGAAAATAAACCCATTTCCTTAATTCCTTTAGCACCATCATTTTTCAGGTTCTATAATGACACCAGCAACATGCTGCTCGATGGGAACATCAATCTGTTATTACTGCCGAGCAAATAACCCTGTAAGCCTGAGTGCCTCGACGATTATATTTATAGAAAAACTGCTGTCATTTTGGATGATGAAACATTTAACCTCCAGAGATAAAGAAGTAATTTGAGAGCATGAGTGTGTGTGGCATGCAGGCTGAAGGCTGATTATAAACAAAAAGAACAACTGAGGCTGGTGGGAAGGTCATTAGCTTTACAGGAATTTTGTCTTAAATATTATATAAAAAATTTTAACCTGATGATGGAGCTACATGGAAAGTCAGAGGATCACAAAAGTTCCTACAGTTTATCTGCAGGGTAACATGAATATCTGTACCAAATTTCACTGCAACACATCTAATAGTTATTAAAACATATCAGTCTTCAGGGTGGTGGACAGACCGACTGACGTGGCTAAAAAGGAGGTTACAGCAATGACTCATCTGCTTTGATCATGTTCTTCCTGTTATGTTAGGTGCTTGTATATCATGTGACATGCTGTTATATAATAGAGGGTAATGTGTTTCCTACAACGTGGCGTAAAAAAAAGACGGTGTCTTGCATGTCACATTGAGGTGCACTATAATTCTCCAAAACTCAGCTGGGCTCTGACACCAAAAGAAAGAAGCTAACAAAGACAAGTAAAGACTGATAATGAGCAGAGGGAATGACAAAGTGGAAGTGAGGGATTAAATAACAGGAAGAGATGAAGACTTCAAAGAAGTTCTAGATTAGGAAGGTGCCGATTTCAGCCAAGTTTATCCCCATTCTCCCCAAAAAAAGAGCCAGAGTTTCAGGTCTACTGCTAAACTGTGTCCTCTTGACTATTCTTAGCTGCATCAGCTCAGGAAGGCAAATCCTTATTACTGTCGTGATGTGAAGAAGGAAAAGCTGAATGACATCTTTACTAAAACATTTGTAGTTTGATATGTTTGGGAATACTCTTAGTCACCTTCTTGCAAAGAGTTAGATTAGATGATTGATATCACTTTCATGTTGTGCATGAAGTATGAAAACACCAGCAACCCATTAGCTCTGCTTAGCATCCATACTGGGAACAGGGGAGACAGCTAGGCTAGCTACAGTATGTCCAAGAGTTAAAGAAAAAAAAATCACACAGCAGCACATTTAAATCTCATCAGTTCACATGCTTAGATCCCGTCTGTTAAGATGACATGTGGTTTTATAAGGGATTAAGTGTCAGACTACTCCTTTTCTTAACTGGGATTACTGATTATCTAAGCTATGCTAAACCGGCTATGCTTAATAGTTGGCAAGGTGTTCTTTTCATGAAATGCTGCTCCTTTTTTTCTCCAAACATGCCTTTGCTGATTGTGTCCAAAGAGTTCTATTTTAACTTCATCAGTCCACAGCACTTGTTTCCAAAACGCATCGGGCTTCTGTAGATGTCCTGTTGCATACTTCAGACGTTGGATTTTATGATGGGGACGCAGATAAGGTTTTCTTCTGCTGACTCTTCCATGAAGGCCTTGTCTGTGCAAGCATCGCTGCACAGTGGAACGGTGCACCACCACTCCTGAGTCTGCTAAATCTTCCTGCAGGTTTTTTGCAGTCAAATGGGGGTTTTGATTTGTCTTTCTGACCAGCATACGAGCAGTTCTGTCCGAGAGTTTTCTTGGTCTTCCAGATCTCATCTTGACCTCCACAGTTCCCCTGATCTGCCATCTCTTAATTACATTTCTTACTGTGGAAACTGCAAGCTGACAACGCTTTGCTATCTTCTTGTAGCCTTCTCCTGCATTGTGGGCATCAATAACTTTCATTTTCAGGGTCTTACACAGCTGCTTAGAGGAACCCATGGTTGCTGGGTGTCCACAAGTGTGTGCACAAGGTTTGAAGAGTCAAAGTATTTGTACAGCTTTGAAATTGGCATTTACCAATGACAGCTGTTGCTGTGCATCAGATCTAACGAGCTGATTAAGGTCTGATACCTTGTGAGAGACTTTGAGACTCTGGAACTCTTAGGGTGCCCAAACTTTTGCACCATGCCATAATAATGTTTTTATTTTTTATTTTTGTTCAATTTATGGCATAAGAAGTAACTATGCATCACTGTTTGCAGAAAATATTGTGCATTTTTTCCATTTCCAAGAGAAACTGTGTTAACATCTGTTCAAATAAAAAATCACCAAAATCTGTTATTTATCAAGGGGTGCCTAAACTTTTGCATAAGACTGTAGCTTCATATTCAGCATGCAGACAATATGATATATCAACTTTCTTATCAAACCCTCAGCAATAAAGCAAATAAACATATTTCCAAAAATCTCAAATGGTTCCTTTAACTTGGCTGTACAGTGTAGGCCTACATTTTGTGTGTCTAATACATATCTAAAGAATAATGTGCACAAATCATTCTCTATTATGAATTTACTTATTTTGAAGCTAGGTCACAAAACAGCATCCAAATTTAATGATATGTGCCTCTTCTTCTCTCTACATAGCAGCCGCATGTATAAACATAAATTATAGAATGCGAGGGTGTGTGGACTAAAGTTGGAGATTACTGTGTATAGTATGTACAGGATTCATTATAAAATGATGGGTAGTTATAGTTATTTCCTTGAAACGAATACTTCAGCTGAAAACCAGCACTACCAAACAGCACTCTGTACGTGTGCGTCACTCATGAACAAATATAATTCTCTGATCCTTTGGTGATCTGCATGTAGCTGTGTTTATGCATGTTTTATCATAGCCGTCAGCAGTACCAGTGAGTGGGTAGTGGAAAGAGGGCACCTTTGACTGAGCACAGAGGAGCAGCAACTTTGTAGCATCAACATGGTAATGAATTTGTTTTAATCCCTGAAGGACCAACACCCCCTCTTTCCATTATTTCAAGCTCATCTTCCTCTCTATCCCTGTCCACTTGCCCTTGCATTTCACTCTTTTTTTCTCTCTTGTATCATTTTGCATCTCTACATCTCTGCACGTGTCTTCCATTTTACATTTTTTCCCATTCCCAGTTACACAATATCACAACAGCTTTTTTAAGTAGCTCTTTTGATTTCAGTGAATTATACTCTACTACACAACCCAGGACATTCATATATCCTTCATCAAGTTTTAAATTACAACCTTTAATCATAGGTCATAGGTGTCAAACTCTGGCCCGCGGGCCAAATTTGGCCCGCAGTGTAATTATATTTGGCCCACAAGCCAATATCAAATGACTACTATTATTATTTAGTGCATGTATCGCTAATACTACTACCGTACCCTAATCCTCCCAAAAATGGCGAAAAGAAAGGCAGAAAAAAGGCACTTTCTGGACAGGTGGGAGGCAGAATATCTGTTTACATGTGTAAAAGACAGACCTGTTTGTCTTGTATGTGGAGCCGACGTGGCTATAATCAAGGAGTACAACATTAGTCAACACTATGAAACGAAACACCATGACAAGTATAAGGACCTGGACATGACTCAAAAATGCCAAAAAGTAGAGGAGATGAAAAGAAGCTTGGTTTCACAACAGACTATGTTCAAAAAAGCCATATCACAAAGCAAGGCCGCTGTAAAGGCTTGTTATACTGTGGCAGCAGAGATCGCAAAATCAGCCCGGCCTTTCACCGACGGAGAGTTTGTGAAAAAGTGCATGATGCAAGTTTGTGACCTCGTGTGCCCAGAGAAAAAGCAAGCTTTTTTAAATGTAAGCCTGAGCAGAAACACAATAGCTGATCCCACATGTGATCTTGCCACCAATCTATATGACCAGCTGATGGAAAACGGAAAAGATTTCGTTGCATTCTCCCTTGCTGTGGATGAGAGCAGCGACACATCTGATACTGCCCAGCTGTCAGTCTTCATCCGTGGAGTGGACTCAAATTTAGTGGAGTGGTGGGCAGGGTTCGGGAGAAGATGCGGGAGGAGAACTGTGCAGGTGAGCTAACTGTTTATCATTGCATCATACATCAAGAATCACTGTGTGGCAAAGCCCTAAAGATGGGACATGTTATGATCACAGTAACACAAGTAGTTAACATTTTAAGAGCCAAATGTCTAAATCACCGCCAGTTCAAGTCTTTTCTGGAGGAATGTGGTTTGAATATGCAGACATGCTGTATCACACAGAGGTGAGATGGTTAAGCCGAGGAAAAGTACTGAACAGATGTTTCGAGCTGCATGAGGAAATATGTCAGTTTCTGGAAAGTAAAGGGAAAGACACAGCAGAGCTTTGGGAGCAAACGTTTCTGTGTGAGCTGGCCTTTCTGTGTGACATCAGGAGCCATCTCGATGCGCTGAACCTGCAGCTTCAGGGACAGGGGCGTATCATTACAGACATGTATGCTGCAGTGAGGGCTTTTAGAACTAAATTATGCCTGTGGGAGAATCAGGGACGGGGCGTATCATTTTCCCTGCTGCCAAACCGTGAAAACGCAGATCTCTACCGCCATGTTCCCATGTGCACAGTTTGCTGAAAAACTCAGCGTACTTGGCGCTGAGTTTAGCCGGTGATTTGCCGACTTTGATATTCAAAAATGTAGGTTTGAACTACTTAGTAATCCATTTGCAGTTGACGTGGAAAATGTACCAACCAACCTCCAAATGGAGCTAACTGAACTCCAGTGTAGTGACACATTGAAGTCAAAGTATGATGCTGTGGGCGCTGCACAGTTTACACATTTCATCCCTGATACAATGCCTCAGCTCCGAGCGCCAAGCTGCTCAGATGCTGTTCATGTTCGGCAGCACTTATCTATGTGAGCAACTATTCTCCTCGATGAAGATGACCAAAATATCTCAGAGGAGATGTCTGACTGATGAACACCTTTGCTCGATCCTGAGGATTTCCTCAGCTCAGAGTCTGAACCCAGGCACTGATGAACTAGCATCCAAGAAGAGATGCCAGGTATCTGGCTTGGACATATCAGAGTAGATCGGTGTGTAGCAAAATGAGAATTAACGTTTTCTTTATGCACCTTTTTCTTGCTACTCCAAGGCATGAGCTTGAATGGTTGCAAGTTCATTTAAAGATATTATTATTAGTTAATTGGTTTATTGATGTTATTTTATTTTCAAATTTTTTAGCCTGTGGAAAAAGGTTACTGTTGAAATCTAAATCAGAAAACTGCAAATAAAAAAAAGAGGCATACGATTTTTATTTTCATTTTATTTAAGAAATGAATGCTATTGCTGTGTTTTTTTTATTTGAAATTCGATTTTGCATGTGTGCAATATTAAGTTATATATTGTGTAGTATTAAACTTTGCTTGTTCCATATTCAATGTTTAAGCAAAACTTGTTTGGGTCCATATAAAAAGGTTCATTGTTATATCTGGAGTAAGATTTTTTTTCCAATAATTATCAATGTTGGCCTGTGACTTTGTCCAAGTTTTAAATTTTAGCCCACTGTGTATTTGAGTTTGACACCCCTGACTTAGGTCATACTTCATACTCAAAATATTCTGTCAAAACTGTAGCTGTGTAAAAAAATCTGTACTTAGGAATACTTAAAGATAATCTTTTTTGTGAAAATATGTTATGTTGGGAGAGCTGGTGAAGTAAATGTACAGTGGACATAACACTAGTTTCATTAAAAATACTGTATAGTACTCACAAAATAAAAGTAATTTGCTCCATTTCTGTGTAGCTGTGCTTCACATCTTTTATCCTCACTGGCTTAACAGCTACACTTAAGTAGCTGGCAGCTGAGCTCTTACTTGTGTGTGTGTTTCACTTTAACCCACTTTCCTCTCTTCATATCTATCCTTGTTCTCTGTCATCAGCAGTTATGCAACAAGTAACAGAGACACTCATTGCCAGGAAGTGGAGTGATGCCATATGTAGGTGGTAAGAGCCCATGTGGGTGAAACTGTCCATCCACACTCTTCGAGTGTCAGACTTCTACAAACGGTTACAGTGAACATGAGCAGCTCTCTCAGAGCCAAAGACAAGAGAAAACAAGGTTCTGAATTTTAGACAGTGCTGCAAAATTCCAAATGATTTATATTCACTTAAAAGAGATGACACCTAAGCCCCAAATGATCAATAATGTACATTAGTAAAAGATCCTTTTTTTTTTTTTTTTTAGAGAAAGCAAAGTTTATTTTATACTCTATTTCTGCTTTAGACCTGGGTCTCTTTGACAGAATGTTCAATAATGTAACACAGACATTCTTTATCTCACATCCTGAAGGTCTTTCTCACAAGTCCAAAGGCTTCCCTAGGCCAGCTGGGGTAGGTAATCCCTCCCCCATGTTCTAGGTCTACCACAATCTCCTCCCAGCTGGCCATGAACAGAAATCTTCCAGATTTTATACTGAAACCTTAACTGGCTCTTTTCAACACAAAGGACAGTAACTCTAGACCAAGATCTCCCTGAATAACTGAGCTCCTCACCCTCTCCCTAACAATGAGTCCAGAAAACCTCTCAGTGAGTCTAGAAGGTTGTGTTTATACCAATATTGCAAATTTGCCATTGTAGCTGTGCATGTTCTGTCTCTGCTAATAGAACTCATGTGATTAACACTCAGAAAGGATGCGCCGGTTTTGTAACCAGTGAGCGATCCATTTTCCACATACCAGGACTGATCTATCTGTTGTGTAAGAACACGACACAACGTGAACATGAGATACCGGTCAAGTGCAAGAATCCAATCCATGTTAGCTGATCACGATGACATCTGACGCCAAGACGGTCAAAGGAAGGAAATGATTAATTAAAACTAATCCAAATTATTGTTAATATAATTTACAGCCTTCTCAACAGCCAGGCTGACTCTGGCATCATGGTTGTTGAGGAAGTTGCATGCTGTATGAAATATGTTCAATCTGGTTAAAAAGCATTGCAGCAATTTTCAATCTACAGAGAGCCATGTAGCTATCAGTAAAGAATGGACCTTTATACATAGCAGAGCATTACCAGCTGTTCAGATTCAACCCTCTCCCCACTCCTCAGCGCTGATGTACTGTGTGACTGTATACAGTGCACACAACTGTTGGTTTTGAGCGTTGTCACATTTGTGCTTGTTTGGTAAACTCCAACTCTGGTAATTTCTGTAAACATGTGACAGAAATAAAATATATCTTACCATGGTCACTCTCTGTCCCAGATCGTCCCCAGTAGCGCCGCCTCCGTTCAGGAGTGTGTGTGTGTCTCTCAATCACTGCAGCTATAAATCTTGTATTACTGACTGGAAATGAAGAGAGCACACAGGTCAACACAAAGTCCCTGTTTAGTGGTACTCAAATGTTTCTGCTGTGAAATAGTAGGATCACTTCAACCGTCATCAAACAGCACTTACTGATTCCTCTGTCCTCATGACTGTCTTCATCCCTGTCGTCTCTCTCGTTATCCAGGTTCGACATTCTCACTGACATTTCTGGACAAAACGGAGGTGAAGAGAGTGAAAGAGAGGAAAGAGGTAGAAGGCCACAGTGAGATAGTATGTGTGTATTGCAACTTTATGAGCCAATTCCTCAGTCTAATGCCTTGTGATAACGCAGTCACACACTCAATCACAAATTCCAATCTGTTTACCAAGCTATCATATTAAAAGGGGCTTGGACTGAAACATTTTAATGAGGTTGTAGTCTTGTTTGATGTTTTTGTCAATATAACTCAGTAATTACATAAATCATGCACCAGCAGCTGGTGAAGAAAATGTAAGTGACTTGTTCCCATTGTTGCTCCATAGGCCAAACAATATGCTTTCGGTTTATTTTATTCTCATCCCTCCGGTGTCAAGTAATGTTGAAAGTTCACTTCCATTTATATTTTATCCAACTTTAAGATGTAAACTTTGACTTTAACTCCATAAAAGTCATACTTACCCTGTGCTGCCAGCGGTGACATGTGCTGGTGCGAGCGCCGATGGATCTGGTGCCTGTATGCGTACACAGCCAGCACCAGCACCATGATACATCCCATAATGCCCCCAGCAACTGGACCCACAGGTGCACTCTTGATCATGTTCAGAGATGCCACCTCTTCATCTGTAGAAGAAAGAAGAAATCAGAGGTAGAAAGCGAAGACTAGGCAGAAGGTTAAAGTCATTACAAAAGATTTCAGATGGCTACAACAAGCCAGTATCAAGCAGCTCGGGCTCAGATCAAAACTCATATTGTGATGCTGGTACATTTTCTGCTTCGCCTCTATGCTCTAATCAGTGTGAAATGCCAGAGAAACATTATGCAACTGCAGGCTGATAGCCAGTTCTTATTAAAAACACTTGATAACAGATCCAAAGAAAAATAACCAAGCAACACAAACATATCAGAAATACTGGTTATCTGTGGTCTACAAGAGTAACATTTCTAATGTCTCCAGGACCCTGGAAATAATGACTTTTGTCTTTTTGTGGGGTTGCTTGGTAGTTTCTTTGCTGTGCTTGCTGACATAGAACACTACAGTACATCTAGGAAAAAATTCTCATAGTCCTCTGAAGGAATAGCCCACACTTTACACCTTAACAAAAAGAAAATTACAATAGTGTCAAACAAAAGAATCTGCATATCTATTTATATTCATGTTTCACTTGCCTAGAAGTCCCAGGCCATCCGCATAGGGACTCTTGGCACCAACAATGCCACCAAAACACTCCTTCTGCAGGGCACAATATGGCTTGTCGAGATGAGTCTTACCATCACTGTCCACCATGCACCATTCACAGTCCAACACACCAAAACAATCACTGAAACAGGGCACAGAGTACAGAGATCAAAATTAGATATTTGAATTTGTCAATATTCTCAACTTATATCAGTAACAATATGTTCTACAAACTATGTATGTATTCATTTAGATAGGTTTAGACAATATTTCAACACTGTGCCACTCATACAAAGTCAGGTATCTGGGTAAACTAGGCACTACAGGTGGTTCAAAGTTTTGAAAATAACTTCATGCTATAAATGAACTGTATGTAAAGTTTGGGCATATTAGAAAAAGATGGAATTCAATCTCAAAAACTTTCAAACAAAACCTCAAACTGCACTTTCCATTTACTACCACAGGGTGGCACTGTCCTGCTGATGTGTGGATGAATGTCCCTCTGTTGCACTGTTTGCTGGGATATGGCTCTGTGAGAATGTACTGGCATATACTTAATGCATGTGTTGGTTTATTCACTACACCATTGCTGTGCACTGTGCAGGTGTAGTTTAGTGTCACTACCTGCTGGTGTATCTCTGGCTACAGCGAGTGTTGATGCACTGGGGCAGGGTGTCATGCAGACTGGGATCAATAACATTCAGACTGAGTGGCTCCTGAAGCACCTCACAGCTCGGGTTCCTGTGCAATGCAAACACAAGGTGAAAAAAGATGCAGCTACATTGCATATGCTCAGTCAAAACAATGAGCTGACAAAATCCAACCAAATTCAAGCATGACAGTAAAACTGACACACAAAGAAAATCAAAATGAATGTGTTCAGCATGTCAATATATTGCAAAGCAGCTCTAAAGAGGACAAACACTGGTGCTGCTTGACACAAAACAGAAAAGTCTGACAGCAAAAAATGATAATTGCAAGTCTTCCTGAAATAACAGAGGAACTGGCATTTGAAACATCGACGTGCTGTCAAAGGCGGCTGATGGCTGATGAAACGATGTGGGTGAAGAGAGAGATGTGAGAGGCACAGGGAATGATGGACAAGTGGCAGTGGGACAGACAGCTCAAAAGACACAGTAAGAAATCTTTTAGAAATTGAGGACACAATTAAAGTGATGACAGGAATATGAAAAGGAGTTACCAGACCATGGAGATATGACTACATCTCACAGCTTGCTATATAAAAGTCCATAGATAATTCACAAGCACTGTAGAATTTTTGGACTGTGCACGGACCTGTTTTCAGCATTGGTGAGGTTTCCCGTGCACTCGTTGACCTCTAGAGGACACTCACACGGACACTCACACTCATTCTGCTCCATTCTGGGAAAACAGCGTTATGTGTTCAGTGAGAAACATTGTCACCTAGTTATGGCATACAGTACCATGACCTGCATTTACCTTATGCTTTAGTGAGAAAAATAAGTATTCTCATACATCCATAGAATAATGTTGTTTAGCTGAGTTTCTGTTTGATTACATGTTGTGACTAGAATGTAATTCACACTATCTATGTTGACTTTGCTGCTACATTATACTATCACATCCTTATATGACTTGTGAACTTGTACCCCATATACTTTTTAATAATTTCCAACAGGAGTATCATCTTAATATAATGAACTGAAAGTGCCTGGGAGTTAAATGGTAAATCCCTCATGAGTGTGTGGCTGAAGCAGAAACCTGTGGCAGTTGAGACAGAGCCGGTCCACGGTGCTGCAGGCGCAGAATGCTAGAGAGTCACAAGTCTCGTTGACAATACCGGCAAAGGCATTGGTGCCAGGGATTCTGGTCAGACGGTACTTAGAACAATGGCTGCCATGGACCAGGTTGGTGAGGTCTCCCTGAAAGAGTTAGAGAGAAAGTGACATGAACATATTATCCCACTGAGTATCTGGAAGTATGACATGTTGGAAAATGTTACTTTAAAAGGTGCAAAGAGGTAGACCTTGAATTAGGATAATATATTCTCAGACTTTACACAAAATCACTCTGCAGGTCTATGAGAATTACTGTATAAAGGAATAACTTATGGTTGCAACATCGATGACAGCCACTAGGAAGCAGCATTATACTGTCAAATAGTCACATATTGACTGCAGAGGCTTTGATGTGTCTGTGTCTACTACTGAGTCTATCAGTCTGACTCTGTTCCTGTGTTGCCATTCATACATCCACTTAACCTACACGTCTGACTTACCATTATGCTGGTGTTGAACTTGTAGAAACGCTGCACGGTGCGGTCACTGAAGCTGTTACAAAGGTTTTTCTTGACAAAGTTGGGATGGTTCAGAATGTCATTAGCCACCAGCGGCTCCTGCCGTCAAACAGCCAGGAAAGTGAAGAGAAAAGAAAAAAAGGCAAGAATCAGATGAAATTCTAAACTACATCTTGCAAGGAACCTCACTGAAAGATTTGTCTATGGTTTGCTTGTTTATGGGTGAGAATGAGACTGTGCAGTGTTTTCTCGTTTGTTGTACAATGCAATGTAATTAACCCATAGTAATGTGGCGTTTTTCTGAAAAGACTAGATTCATTTTTGCAGTCACATATTTGGCCTTGTTGAGGACGTTTACTGTGCATGGACCTTAAAGTTGTGTGGCTGTAAAAGAGACGGTAATTGTTTTACTTATTGCTTGTTTGATGTTATTTGTATACCAGTTTGTGATGCTCACATTTACGTATTTGTCTCTAGGCGCTTTACCTTATGTGTGATGTGCTGTTGTTCTGCAGGAGCATGACCTTTGGGGTCAATGAGAGTAGGGTGGGCAACCAGGTACCCTCTGTCCTCCATTATAAAGCACCTACAATGTACATGCAGACAGAGAAATGTCAGAAGTAGTGGTTTGAATGAATAAAAATAACATAATATGTAAGTTTTCATTAGCATTTGCTTAATACAGCTCAGCCGTGCTTCGCTTCATTCCTGCAGCATTCTGCCCAATACTGCTCTGCCCCACGGCCCCTCTGGGATAATCCTGTCTTATATGGGCCCTGAACACCAACAGAGAGAGCACAAAGAACTGAAGAGCGAGAAAGAGAAAGAGAGAGAGAGGCAAGAAAGACCAGGGAAGAAGAGGAGCCTTGGAGAAGGGGATAAAGAAAAAAAGGGACACGTAAAAGCTGG